CAGGTCATTGAGATCAGCTGAACCAGCAAAGCTACGGATGCAGGGTAGGATGGCAGGTATTTCCCAAATCAGGCTTTCTGTGTTAAGATAATACACTACCTTATTTTGCCATCAGAAGATGAGTTGTAGCTTTTCCTTGCAATGTGCACAAAGCATCAGCAAAATCCTGATTTGTAAAAAACCAAACCAAAACAAAAAACTTCTGTATATGAATACTTTGCAGTGTTCACTCTAAACACTTGCCATTGACTTAATACAGTGTTTGCATAAATGTGTTTTCAGTAAGTTCTTGAATATTTAGTATTAAAAACAAAGGTCCTCTGATTAATGTACTTACCATCTGGCTAATTTCTTTAAGTGGCTTTTCTTTATACATGTATGTGTTGTCCATCTCTTGCTAGTTTTAATTTACTCAATATCACTTTTTAACTACATGGCCTTACCATTTCCAAAGGTTTAACTATCTCTCAATCATTATGAAGCATGTGTTTCTTTTGACAATCATATTCACTTTACGAGGCATGTACTTGTCTGAGTGGGAACGGTGGATGAGTTGGTTGCATGAGAAAGCTCTGATATATATCTCCTGGTTCATAAAGAGAACAAGCAGATAGCAAGAACTGAAGTCAAATCCATCAAGCAACTGGAAATGGAAGTAAATCAAAGCAATTCACTCTGTATTTTGCTCTGAAAGGTGGGACTTTATTCAGACGCTCAGAATGGAGAGCCGAAGTCATGCGTGCCTATTAGCCATGTCATCAATGGCTCAAAATTTTGGTTGCCAACAGAACTGCAGAGATTCAGGGCAGATATTCTACCACGTTAGCAATTGTATACCCAGCCCTGGCGGCACAATGGTACTTCTTTGTTTCCTGATGTAATAAGATTTACAGTGAGAAATGCAATCCAGAAATGTACGTACAACTGTAGAAAATTGCTGTTATGGTATTCCCGTGGACGAGAAGTTTGTAGAGTTCTGTCACTTCCCAGCATTGCAGATAATGCTGCATAAAATTCAACAGCAATCAAGGGAGTGGAAGAGACCTTCCAAGGCAGAGTGGTATAGTACAACCATTATAGGCATTCACTTTGTGGAGCCAGAAGATTAACTGCCCGAACCTGCCTCTTGGCAGTAAAGCTTCTGCTAGCTCCAACAGGCAGGAACAAGCACTAAATCCTGGGGTCCTGATTCAGCTTTTAATGGGTCTTTACTCAGACAAACTCTGGGTGGGAATAAGGACCCAATAAAAATTCAGTCAAGACATCTGGACTTGCCTCTGGAATGAGGTTGTAAAAAACTTCCTTGGTTGATGCCCTTATGTGCTGCACAGAAAGGAGATGCTCCCCACCACTGGCTTCTCCCCCACTCATCAGGTGGCCCCAGGAGTCAGCCACTCAAATTTGACATCTCCCAGGTGCCAAAGTGAGGCACAAGTTTTTATGTTACATGTAAAAGGCCATGTAATTGGACTTTTTGAGATACTCTGTAGAATACAGCCAGACCTATGTTAACAGCTCAGGGACCTGTAGCACAACCAAATATTTATGGGTATTTTGCAAATCACTGGCGTGCAGTGTTATTTCTCCTGGAAAATATATTGCATTAAATTGCCTTGTATTTGATACACTAAACCACTTTTACAAAGTTATTTTTCATGTCATACTTGGGCGTCTGAGAATGCCATTAAGGGCATCATGCCCAGCTACAACTACTGTGCTCATCTCATGACCCTCTTTGCAATGGGGGCATTCATGCACAAAGCTCGTGCTTATTCTTTGGGTTTCGTGCCCAGGTCTGCGTGTGTCACACTACAATTGCACTTAGCTCTCGAGGCCTGGGAGCGCACGTGATACTGTGCTCCTCATTTATGACCGTTGGAATCGGATGCACTCAAGTCCAACTGCAGGACTGGCGTCTTAGTCTTCACATGGTGGGACACCGTTCTGCTCCTCTAGGTTAAAGCATTTCTTGACTGTTTGGAAAAAGGTCGGTCGAGGGGAGTGTCTCACATTCAGGGTGAATTGAATTTAGTGGCCAAACTGTCAACTTCATTAGAGCCAGGAATTCACCCTTAGCCATTTAAAGCCTGGTTTTGAGGCAAACCCTTTCCCAGTGGACTGTCAAGAGTAGCCCTTCCCTATCTCCAGCCTCTAAATGATCTAGAACTTGAGGTTTGCTTGCTCACGGGATGCATTTTTAAATTCGGAGCCGCTTTCTGTGCTCTGAAACCATATCAGGTTCCGTAAATCCTTTTGTGTGGGTGTTTGAGCGGTCCGTTAATTTGCTACTTTGTGATTTTTCTTCTTTTGTTGGTTTTTTAAGTAACTTGCTTTTTTATTGCAGACTGCAAAAAAAAAATACACTTAAGCCTTCCATGCTCATGCTTCTTTCTGAAATGTTTTGCTTTAGTTTTTTGACTGTTGTCTTGCTGTGAACTTTGCAGATTTGTTTATGAGTGTCACATGCTTCTGCTACATCTGCATTGTCACTGTTATGGTATTTTTTTCTTTCTGTCTGTTTCTTCCACAGGAGTTTAACAAGTAATCTGCCCAATGTGAATCTACCCAATGTGAATCTCCCTAAAGTTCCAAACCTACCAGTTAACATCCCACTAGGCATCCCACAAATGCCTAGCTTTTCTGCACCGTCATGGATGGCTGCTATATATGATTCTGAGTGTGTATTCAGTTCACATTAGATCTAATTTAAATTTGAAGTAATCTTGGCATGGATATGTATTATTTATTTCTGTGCATTATATATAGAACTTCAAAAGAGTGACACAGACAGATAATTAGACGTTTCTCTGAATGAGGCAACCCTTCTGTATTTCTGGCATGTACGTTGTGAGTTTTTTATCAATATTGAGGATTTGTTTTGCACCCACTGGAAATTTGAGCAAATGTCTCGCTTTGCAAACTAGTTCTTGACAGTGGGATATAGTCCTGTTGGAGTATAAATTGCAAAATGCATCCTGGAAGATGGCGTATCTCAGGAGAAAGTTCTATCCAAAAGAGGAGATGAAACAACTTCAGTGCTAGCTGACCAATTTCTGTGGACCAGATGTAGATCTAAAAGTGAATCTTACTTCTTTGCAAGTTCCTCATTGCCTCTGATGGTTTGTTTTCCTTTTAATTCTGCACAGCATTGTCATCACAGGTGCTTATACATAAAGATTCTCACTCATTTCATGGGAAGCCCCAGAAAGTAATTGAATTCTGTAACTAGCTGTCACCGTCTGAATATTTAAATGTCTGACAGGAGGAAAAACAATTTTTAGTGGAAGGCTTTGAATCCGACTTAGGAAATCAAACCCTGAGCCCATGTCATTAGTGTGTAAAAAGCTAGCCTTTCCCATTCCTCTGCCTCACACCTTTGGCATGTCCCAAGACATGGGATGCGTCCTACTGTCATGCAGGTACCATATTGGAAGAGGAATTAGAGCTCATGGTCAAGGTGAGATATTTTATTAGAGCATCTAGATTTAGGAGGCACTATAAAACCATGCCTATGTCATGTACCTGCTGTAATGCAGTGGGTCTCTGAGGCAGTGCTGGGGGCTGGTACCCAAAGGTCAAGGAGCTTTATCCCCCTGTGTTGGGGAAGCCCTTCCAATGACACTTATACGCATAAACAGTGCGAGCATTAGCGTAAAGGGCTGACGTCTGATCAGGATGTTGCAGGAACAGGTTGGTCTCATCCAGCCAGGAGCGGCTGTCCCTTCACAACTGGGCAGCCTGTGATGCCTTGTGCCTTGGTGAGTGGCCACTTTCCAAACTTGCCTTCCACCAGCCCCCAGCCAGCATATTTACCTCCGTGGCTCAGTCTCTTATGTCCCAACCCTCCCATCTCTTCCCTATAAATTGTTCTGCTCCAGAGCAGAGTTTTAGTGCAGCACCTCATGGGACCATTTTGTTTCAACAAAAATGACGCTTGTCTTCCCCTGCTCCTCCCTCTTCCTTCCCTATCGCTTCACTTTCCACCCCCGCAGGTTTCTTCCTTCCTCTTCCTCCTGCCTCTGTCATCTCTTCCCTCTTAAAAGCTGAAGAGGAGGACAGCCATAAGGCCCCAGCCCTACAGGGCACTAACTCATGAAAGCATCCCTCCCACAGGTTAGGTTTAACATAGCATTTACTGAATAGACTTGGGCTTGAACACTGACTTACGTTCTTCCCTGCATCACGGGCTAAAAACACAGGTGTAACTTTGAGCACAGGAAGTCAGTGAGGCTACTCCTTTGCTCAAGTGCCTTCAGTGAATGCTTGGCTGGACTTGGGGCCAAATTCCCAGGGTGCAGGCAGAAGTGTTTGGGATCCCCGGGGAGAGAGAGGCAAGGCGAGGAAAACCCCTTTGCAGAGAAGCAGTCTGAACGTGGCCTGGGGAACCGGGACTCGGTGCAGTCTGCGGTCTGCTCCATCGATACCATGTTCTGATCCTTCTGGCAGACTCAACATGCCTTTTCATGTTGGGAACTTTAATTTTGGAAGAATAAATTGGCATTTTATCCAAATACTGAAAGCCTCAAATGAACAAACATAAGACGTTTTTCGGATCGCAAGGGTGGCAATGAGCTAGAGACTTAAATTACATCTACACCTGGAATCCACCAGACTTCCACTGTCATACAGGTACCATATTGGAAAGTAAAGCCAATGAACTGGCAGTAAAGGAAATGTAATCTTATTCTTTAAAAAAAAAAAATTAAAATACTTGGAAATATGAATGCTGTTAATTCTGTTTCAAAGAAACCCAACTCATATTCATGCTAAGACGGCTGTATTGAAGGTTAGATTAGGCAGTGTCTGTAAATAGTACTTGAAAGTTTTTCCCCCCTCTGTGCATGCTCTGTGATACTGCTTCTGAAAAGATAAGAATCAAGACATGACAGTAAAGTGGACAGTCGTCTTTTTATAAAATCAAAGCTTGAGTGTGAAAGGCATTTTGTGAGCTGCTATGGGATCAAAGTAATTTCAGTGCTATTGCACTAAGAATTAACAGTTCTTCTTGGTAACAAACATTAAAAAAAAATTCTCGCATGAAAACCTAATAATGAGCTGTTCAGAAGAAAAAAAAATACCAAGAATATATATTTTTTTAAATTTCAAAACCAGATGGATGTCTTAATGTTGCTGTAGCAAATACCAATTCTCGCATTCATGCGTATTTAATTATTTGGAACATAAATTCATGCGGTTCCAAAATGGGGATGGAACTAAAACGAGTTTATTTATTCCCAAACCTGAGTTTGAAACAGAAGACACTAAATGTGCAGATAGGGCAACTGTCAGGGCTGTTGCACAAAGTAGCTTTTTGGTTAAAGGTGCCATTTAAGGAAATGCCTGATTCTGTATCTTTTCATTTCTGCAATTCCCTTTGACCCACCCACCGTTCATTATTAAGGACATGTTTCAATCTTACCTTTCCCTTAGCATCAGATACATCTCTTCCCACTCCTGAGCTGACTTATTCTTTAAATGGTTACCTTTGTTAGCACAGGACCCCCCTAGGACCCCTCTAGCATGTTGGGAGTATGGTTTTCACCTTGCGGTAGCCATGTATGCATTAGCTATAATTTCCTCTGTAGCATTAACTCAATGCAGCTGGCATCTGTCACAATAGAAACACCCTCCCTCATCTGTTTCTATAGATGATGTCAGCAGAAGTGGTAATGCATGGTGTGTTAAACATCTTATAAATTACTGTGTTAGCATTAGTGGTATGCGAGGAGGAGGTTAAAGCTCTTGAATTTCCCGTGGTAAATGTCATGAAAAAAGAGTGAGAGAGAAAAGGGTTACAGACACAGAAATTTCTCTGAGCAAACCAAACACAATCAAGGCCTGTGTTTTATCCTGTAAGTGGAGGTTTGAGATGTAATTATACTTGGAAAGAACCAAAGTAGCTGCACACCACAAGACCAAAGAGTCCTGTCTGGACAGAGGAGTGGGTAAGAGAACATGCACTTCCGAAAACATGCACTTCCGAAAGACCAAAGGCATGGCAACAAATCAAAAAAACAAAAAAAACCAAAACCAAAAACTGCTCGAATCTGTTGGCCTGGAGATGCCTTTGGAAGAGGTTGATTCTTGAAGAGGTAGAATAGTCAACCAAACCAAAACTCTTCAATATAAGATGTCAAGTGTTCTTAGTTCAATTGACTTACCATGATTTTTTTCCAGCTGTTCAAGAGATAAAGCGTGTCCTCGCTCACCACTTGTTAGCACTGTCCTTTACCTGGAAACCTTGGGTGGAAAAAAAAACGCCCTATATCTTAATAACTGCATACAATCATGTACTGTAGTTATTATCAATCAAGGATTTTCAACAACAAATTCTAGCCTTAATGCTGAATAATCACATAAATTCATGTGAGTATTAATTAAGGCTGATTTTTACCATACACCCTTTTTCCAGCTAATACGTGTAATTCATAACTTTGTCTTATCATCTGGCCTGGAAAGATTTGTGGGTTGTAACACCAAGGTAGATTAGGAAAATGTATGGTAAAACTCAAAACCCTGATGGTGGAGATTGTCTGATATTGTTCTGTGTATTAAACAACTGCATACCCTAGTCTTTGTCCAAGAAAGGTCTCCACATCAGGTGTCTAATAGCCTGGTGCAGGTTATGACTTCTGTTTCCACTTTATCCTGCCAGCAATGGGTCAGGAACCTCTGAAGATCTGTTTTGGAAACTTGATGCCCTACAGACCTTCATTCGGGATTTACATTGGCCCGAGGAAGAATTTGGAAAACATCTTGAGCAGCGTCTGAAGCTCATGGCAAGTGACATGATTGAATCTTGTGTCAAGAGGTAAGTCTATAGTGTCTCGTGTTGAGAAATATAGCGAAGCAGCTGGGCTGACAGGCCTTCTAGAAGGGGCATCACTTCTTCTATCAATGTTTGGGAAATATCAGTCTTTGCTTTACCTTTCATCTTAACCCTGGCTGTTCAGAGAGGCGCGAGCTTTGGTAGGCTAGAGCCTACTTTATCAGTTGCTATGCATGGGTTTCCAGAGAGCAAGGGTACTAAATGGAAAGGAATGAAGTTATATGAATACAAAGGGAAAGGGGAAGAAAGGAGGGAGCACTGGTGAGAGAGACAGGTGGGTTGAAAAGATCCAAAGGGACCTAGGGGTTATACAAGCTAGTCCTGGTATTGAGCTAAGAAACCAGTCTTTGTTGAGACCACTTCTGTCGTGAGCAAACTCTACCAGCATCAAAGCCAAATTTTATGGCACCAACACTGTTGGACAGGACACATCATGAGGATGCCTGACAACCAGCTCTTGAAGCAGGTCCTATACTCCCAACTCACTGATGGTCGCTGCTCAAGAGGTGGATAAAAGAAGAGATTCAAGAACAACTTGAAGGCCAGTCTAAAGACATGGGATATGAACATCAGTCCTTGGGAGACTCCTGAACTGGGTCACCCTCATTGGCACCATGGTGTACAACATGCTTTGAGCAAACTCGCCTCCCTATGTCGGGAGATAGATGAGAGACAAGGGAAAGAAAGAGCCATGACCCAGCATCACTAGGACTCATTCCTGCCCCCAAAACTGTTTGCCATGTCTGCAGTCTAGCATGCAGATCTCCGAGCAGTTTCTTCAGCCAGCTCTGGACCCACCCTTGACTCCTCTATTGACTGCAAGACTGTTTTTCTCATATTGAGGGACTGCCACTGCCGATGACTTAACACAGTCCAGCCTGTGGATGATTTCTTGGTCCGCAATTTCAGTTCAAGTTGGTTTTTAAAGTTTTGTTGTTTAAAAGCCTTTGTCCCTCAAGAGGTTAACTGCTCTGTTTTTCCCTCTTAGTCTTATTCATGCCTTCAGATGAAAGAGGTTGTTGCCTACCAAAGCTCATGCCTCTCTGAATCAGTCAATCAGCCTGCCACCCTTCCCTGCCTTCTGCATAGTATTCATTTCAGTAACAAAAGATTAAGGCCAAACCATCATTATTTTCCACCAGGCCTTGCATATCTTTGGCTGGTTTAAGGTGTAATTCAGCACTGGGAAGAAAAGATCTTTGTATTCTCTTTTGAACAAAGTAAATACCAAAAGGAGAAAAACTAATGGAGGGGCCAGTGAGTACAGCTGCAGGCCTGGGCTGGTGACTGCCACGGTTCTGGTGAAGTGGCTCTTCCAAACCAGCATTGTCTGGCCCTTGTGCAAACCTGCGCCTGTGTTGTATGACACCCAAACTCCTAAATCTGGATTTACAATCTCACCTTCTAAGAAAGAAGCATCTGGTGTCTGAGAGAGGGGCTCTAGGTTCACACACTGGAATTCAAAGCAAATGACTGTAGTAGGACTGCTGTTGCTGATCTGAAAAAAAAACGCAGCACGCGGGTAGTTAAATTTAAAGACACAGCTTTTATTGAAATGCAGTAGCTCTGATGGCTGAGTTACCTGGCAGCCAGCTACTGTAGATAATCCCAAAAGCTCAGAATACCCACCATGCAGCACGGATACCAAAAAGGTACAGTATCCCAAACAACACACTTTTAATTCACTATATCACCCTGGAAAAACGCCCTGCACTGTTCTGGAAAGTTGCTGTGTTTCATATGTTGCTATTGTTGTGGAGTTTGGGGAAAAGGCACTAGAAAGGCCCTGGGATCTACTCTCAAATTCAGGTAGGCAGACCCTTGGGATCCCACAAGTTCAGCTATTGCTGGGTGCATGTACACGTGCATTAACACGCTTTAGTTAATGCACATTAAATCTAGCAACTCCTCTGGGCTCCTGTACATGTGCAGAGAGCCGACTCCGACTCCCTGGAAATCTAGTGCATCGCAGCAGACTCGATTAATTGAGACTAGTTTGGGAAATGCTCTCCTTCATTTAATTGAGTCTGCTGGAGCATAGAAATGAATGTGCTCCAGCAGACTCTAGCATCAGGTATCAGTGTCCCCGCACTGAAAAACGGTGGCAGGGCACTTTGAACTCAAGCTCATTTGATGAGCTTGAGTTCAAAGTACCCCACCACCATTTTTCAGCAGGGGGGATGCTGATGCACATGATGCTCAGGCACTTTTAATTAGCACAGCCCACTAATTAAAGCACCACCCCCCCACGCCTCCTGAAGCATGAGTAAAAATGCCCTCCATTGTGAAGTACTATTAAAATGAGCATTAGCCTGTCTTAAGCCGCACTCACTAAAAAGCTCAGGGCATGTCTACATGTGCACTTTAATACATATTAGCCTACTTTAATTTGCATTAAAGCATCACTTAAAAGAGGGTGCTATGTAGTTAATGTGCATTACAATAGACTAATGCACATTAAAGCACACATGGAGATGCTCTCACTGAGGTATAACTGATACTTTTATTTTCTCCACATTCATTTGGTGCTGTGGGCTCCCTTGCAGCGTTGTGTCTCTGTTAGGTTAATAAAGTGCCCCTTAATTGCAAAGGGTCTTTCAAGTGGTCCATTTTGCCTTCAGAGACCTCAGGAAGGAAGGAGTACTACCCACTATGCAGAAGATATTCCTAGTGTGATATGCAAAACCACTGATGACCAATGAGCATTGAAAACTGCTCCTGCAGTCTTGATCAGACAGCATTCTTACTGAAATAACAGCTTTAGCTGCCAAAGAAGGGAAATTGCAACTAATAAAGCTTAGTAGGGGGCAGCAAGACGTGTGTAGAAGAGCCTGCATAATTACATATCTGCACGCTTCTGCAGTTAACATCTTGCCCGGGTTTTCTGCTAGGTGCATTTGTTTTTTCAAAGAAACCACTTAAAGGAACCATTATGACCCCTGAGAAGAGTTTGGGCAAGCCAATACTATTGTGGAAACATAGAAAAAGCAATAATCCCATAGTGCCCTTCATGCCAAGCAATTGAACAGGTTTGTACCCTCTGCATTTAGTATTGTGTGTCAATAGAATTGCCTTTAATTCACCCAGGTTGCGGCATTTAAACAGTAGGTATAAATTAGCTAATATAACCCAAATTACAGGTGTGCATTGCCACTGCCATCTGTAGCATCATCACGCTGTTTACCAAGTACGAGAAAGTAATAGTTTCTATGAGACTGTTACACGCTTTATAAATAGAACATATTCTGTGGAATAGGCTTCTTTTCAAACTTAGTAAGACACATTTGGAGTAATTGTATTTGCCACGGATGTTAGCATTCAGTCTGTTTCACCAAAGCCTTCTAAACTTTGCGTTCCACCTCTTATTAATTACAATATCTTAAGCACCAACTGAAATGGTCTTTTCCTACTTTCTTTAATAGAACCAGGATTGCATTTGAAGTAAAGCTGCAAAAAACCAGTCGATCAACAGATTTCCGAGTCCCTCAGTCAATATGCACCATGTTTAATGTTATGGTCGATGCCAAAGCTCAGTCAACAAAGCTTTGCAGTATGGAAATGGGCCAAGAGGTAAAAATGTAGATTATTTTTGTTTTTTATGTAAACTAGAGACAATGTCATGAATTTTCCCATCTATTATTCTGCTAGTTTCAGAAACTTTCTAACAGTTGTGGACCTCATTCTTTGCACAGAATAAGCAGATGAATATTCAGGGTCTCTCCGTCAAATCAGTCTAATGAATATGGGCGTTCAGAATTCCAGTCACTTACCAGTGATTGTTGGCAAGGATTGTGGTGTGCATAAGGTACCTTTAAAGCCTGCTAATGCATGATGACTGTGTTTACTGAGTCATTAAGTTCACCTTGGAGCCAGATGTATGTTTGCCTAAATGCTAGCTGTTTACATGTAGTCAACAGATTTCCAATATAAGACTCTTTTGTATACAAAACATCGGGAAAACAAAAGCACTAAGTTACTTTTTTTTTTTTTTATAAAAAAAGACAACTTCCAAACATATATCCAAATTCCACCCATTTTGACTTCCTTGAATATTGGCTGAAATCAACATGTTGTATGATCCTAATTTACCAGGTTTTGAATGACTCAACTTTAAAAAAAGTCCAACTCTAATCACTTGTTGATTGTTTTTTGCCTTTAAAAGACATTGTTTCAGCTTGAAATTTCCATAAATTTATAGATGAATTAGAAAGGCATGCTAAATTGGGTTAGATGAAATGCATCTCCACGTTCATGTCACTCCAAAGGCGAGAAGCCAAGTTAAATATTCATGTGCCGGTTTAGAATCAATTGAGGAAAAATTGTTTGCATCTCCTCTCTTGTTGCCAGTTGCCTAGATAAGCTCTTCCAGTGCAACTTCACATGGTTGGAATGTATAATACATCATTGCAAATTGTTTGTTCACTCTAGTTATTTACCTCTTCTGCTACTCTTTAAGGGCCTTGTCCAAAGCCTGCTGGACTAGTGGGTGTCTTAGCACTGATGTCAGCAGGCCTTGGACTGGGCCCACTGTTCTTTTATTTTTTGTGGGCTTTCAGTTGTAGCATTTCATTTGTGATGGTCTTGTTGATAAGAAAGGTTCTGAGATGCTTATGGTTGAGTTTCCTTCTCATCCACCAGTCCAACTTAGGACACGTACTAACTGGACCCTTGTTCGTCCAAGGCTTGTTGGTAGAATTACCACATTTCCTCCCCGCTCTGTTTCTTCTCCTTGCCTGCCCTGATTCCCAGTTCTCTGCTCCCACAATATCCATGCTGGCACATTCCCGACAGACCAGAGGGGCAAGAGTTGCAATACAAATCATGCATTTACCTTTAAGGATATAGGTTGTAGCTGTGTTGGTCTAAGGATGGAAGCAGACGAGCTTCTTTGAGTAAATCTAATCTTTTATTAGACCAACTCAAATAGTTGGAAATGATTCTTTTTTGCAAGCTTTTGGGTACAAACACCCTTCATCAGGCTGAGGAAGCAACTGCTCTGCTTGACGAAGGGTGTTTGTGCCCAAAATCTTGCAAAGAAGAATTTTTTCCGACTATTTGAGTTGGTCTAATACAAGATATCGCGTTCACCTTTATGAATTCAGTTAGCAAAGCTCCCAAGGAAGACATATTTCAGAGATCAAACCAGCTCCCACAGCCCCTAGGATACTACAGGAGTAGTTAGTTGTATTAGTAAGAATTACGAGGGAATATTCAGTCTATAGCATGAGACTCTTCTAATATTAATTGAATGTGGACATAATATGGGTAAGCCCAGTGTACCAATCCGTTCTAACCAACAACAGCCATTACTGACGTTCCCTTGGCGAGGCATATGTCAGCTGTAGCAAATATACTGTTGAGACTATCAAGCTCATCTCCCATCTGTCTGAGGTCTCCAGAAAGCAAAAGCCTAAGTTCAGTTTACTTGGCCACTCACCTACTATCCATTCCATGCCCAGGCATCCTGAATCCCATGAAATCTGTCTGTGCTTCTTTCAGAAGGCATTTGGTATAGCAGTGCAGAGATAATGCGACTGTTATGCAAAGCAGCAGTTGCTGTGGGATGATGATTTTAACAAATAGCTGAGTTAATAGACCTGTAAATCAGATGTAAATTATCAGTGCATAAGTCATTGTTTAGGGCTGCAAAACTTCATGTGCCCACCTTTTTCTTTTCTTCTTTTTCATGAATATTCCATTCCCCACTTTCGTTGCTCACACCACCTCCCTTTTGTCAACTGCCAGCTCCTGAAGGTGTACAGTCTCTGTGTTGAGATCATTTTGCTTGACCCAAAACAGGGGCTGAAACATGCACACCCACGCACGCACACAGACACACACCCACAATTGTTGTCCCCAGAAATAACTGGAGTAACAGTCCTCAGTAAGCTGCTACTCCAACTCTTCTATTTCAGCTCTAAGCCCAAATTAGAAATGCAAAGATTAGAAACCAAGTTTTGATTTTTCTTATAATTTATCCACTGTGGGTGAAATGGGCATAGAAAGTCTTTATACCATTCAAGGTTCACTTGTTATCCTGCAAACACAGCTTTGAGTGGGACCCCTGTGCTAGGGTGGGATTTTTGTGCGTAAATCGTTTGCGAGCATCCCCTAGGCTCAAATAGGCGCATAAAACGTGCCCGTCCAACAATGGATAAGTGAGTTTGTGAACGTTGGGGTCCGCTTGGCAGACACGTCACAAGCAGAAAAAAGGCTACAGTTGTAAGATAAACTGTGTGTGTGTCACAGGTTGCCCAGCTCCATCCACCGCAGATATCTGATTTAACAATAAAAAAGCAATACTTTTTCATCAGAGTGAAAGCTGCCCAGTGGTTGAGAGAGACACTCTTCTGATGTATCATTGAGCCTCACTTATATCACTTTTTCCTCCAAAAGCCCTGTCTCTTTTAAAGGTACCTTACCTTGTGTTCACATGTCTTAACACATATGTGAACCATAAGATGCAATTTAAGAGCAATATTACTCTCCTAACTACTTTCCCGTCATTTCATTCCCACGTCCTTATAGCTGAAGGCAGCTGTTCAAGCATTTGGTAAACACGCTTTACCATTTCAAATATTTATTTTTCCGCTGCATTTTAATACGTCAGTGGGTATAAATTTATGTATTAAATGTTTCTCAGTTGGTCTATGATGTTTTTATTTAATATCCAAGGTCAGATGGTCCTTTCAGAAATGCAGCGCACACACAATCTGTTATATGACAAGGCAAAATATGCACCACATAAAGTCAAGTGGAATAATTTTAGCAGAGGCATTGTGAGTTGTAATAATTCAGCTACTAGCAAATGGTGATTATCTCCAAAGATTTTATTAAATCAAACAAATCAGGGCAAATGTTTGACCTCTAACAGGCCTCATAAGAAATAGAAGAGCTAAAAGAAACCCAGAACTATGAACTGGACCCAGGCAAAAAATACATGTCATCGGGCAATCGTTTGTGCCAGATTCATAATGCAGCCGTAATTTCCTCGTGGGGCAATTATAATGAGGCTGCGTGTCAAATGGATTTCATCTCCATTGTCAGGGCTGGACCCCCAGTAGGCAAAGAACAGCAGAGGTGTGCTGCAATATTACGCACAAAATTAAGCCGATGACATTTGGCATTTCACCGGTGCTGGAGCCCTTTGGAAAAGAGCCCTTTGTCACAGGTTTATTGGAAGCTTCTTTGCATCGCAGAAAACCCAGACTTCAGCTGCTCTGCAGCTGCGGCATGTCTTGTAACCAGTGCGGAGCTGCTCTGAACCCAGCTGGCCCACTGGGGAGGATCAGACGGTACAGAGGGGTCACCTGATGGCATGGAGCCAGCCCTGCAGCCCCTACCTGCACCCCTGCCAATGGCCAGGTCCTCGGTGCTCCCAGTGTGCCATAATGGCCCTGGGGAGACGCTGGCTGTCAGAGCGGCAGCAGGATCAGAGAAGCACCACTTTGGCTTCATGGCACCATTGCTTTGAAAGGACCATCTGAGTTTGGTCCTGGTTTCAGCAGAGCTTCGCTCACTTGACACCGATCTGAATTTGCCCTTGCATTTTCAACCTCCACCATGAGGGAGCAGCTCCCGGAGACCCTCTTGAAGAGCAAAGCCACAGCAGGTGCTTTGCTGTAGAGGCCTGAGTGTTTTCTCCCTCTGCAGGGTTGCATTTATTGCTGCCGCTGCTCTTCTGATTTGCTTTGTAAACAAGCTTTTAATTGTGAAGATATTTGTCAATACATTTCACGCTGTATTATTTGACACGCACCTAGCCATTCTGCAAGTTAAATCCTGTAATTTATCCCACGAAAATGAACAGTTAGCAACAAACTCCACCCGCCCCGTCTCCAGCTACCCAAACCCCTTGATTAAAACAACATGCTAATGAAGCGCATTAAGCAGGTCTTTGGGGCTAATAGGAAAAACCTGAAACCCAGTTGGGGAAACTTTGATGTGAACCCCACAGGAGCGAGGGCACACTAGGCCCATGAGCTCCGGTGCCCACCTGACCGACCTGAGTTTGCACTTACCTGTCTCGCCCCTAGGTTTTGTTGCACCTTGGAGTCAGGCTGAGCATTGCATGCCTGCTGCTTTCAATGTCAGCCCCATTATACAGCTCCACGAGGTGGCATGGCATACATTGCTGTTCTGTGTCGTTCTGTGGGTAGCAATCCCCTCCTCCGGGACACTTCTGCTACCACATGCAGAAAGCACTCGCTGCACTACAACCTTCATCTGCCGGCGTACCGCTCCTGTCAGCATTGCACCGGGTCCACCACCCACCCCTCCACCCACACAGCTGAGCGGTAGAGAGGTCTTGCATGAGAAGCACGTGGTAGGAAGTCTCCTACAGCTCATAGATAAACCTTCCCTGCGGGAGGAAAGCTGCTGTGGAAGTAGACTGTCACACAGAGGCTCACATACATCCATAATACCAAGGAGTAGCACTGGTTTCGCCAGACAGAGAGCGCTGCCCCTTCCAGTACACCAGAGGAGGGCACCTCTTAGCTTCAGCCCACAGCCCAGATAACCTCTGCTGCCTCCGCTCCTCTGTTGATTTGCCTGTTGGAGGGACGCAGTTTGGGAGGCTGGAAGCTGCTTCATTTGACCCACCTCCCTAAGCAATAAGCTTGTGTCCAGTCTTTCTTTCAGGTCTCTTTTGTGTTGAAACTCCCCATGCACCTGCCCTGCCATTGGCTTGGACATATTTTACCTTCCTTTTTCCAAGTGCAATAAAATCAAGTCCTTGTTCCTTCTCATAAGAGACTTTCAGTACAGATTCTGTATTAAATCACTTCCTCCTTCCCAGCTTTCTACCTCACCTGTCTTGCAGTGAAAGTGGGGCTTGCTTGTGTTTCATTTTCCATTGCTTATTGTTTCTGTGCCTGCTGCTGTTGCTTCTGTGGCCCCAGTTGAAAGGTCCCTTCTCTTATTTTGGAAGGTTTTCTTTTATTTATTGTTTACTTTCATATGTTTTTTTTTTTTCCTGTCTTCTGCATGTTCCTCTTTATTTCTGTCCCCAATCATCTGAAAGTTTGCTAAAGAGTGGGTAAGTGTCCCCAAAACTTTTTTCTTTTTTCCAAGTTTCAGTTATAATGTGTTAGTGTTTTATTGAAAAGGAAATCGCACAGCGGGTCAGACTGATAGAAGGGCCTTGTACACACTGGGTGCATTTGCACGTGCAATTAAAGCTATTTGGCTTCACTGCATAGTAAATTTACTACCTTGTAGACTAATTTACTGCACAGTAAGCATCTGCATGTATAGACAGTGACACTTTTTACTGCACAGTAGACATCTACCGTGTAGTAAAGTGTCACTGTCTACACATGCAGATGCTTACTGTTTAGTAAAGTGTCTCTTGTAGACGCAGTCACTGGGAAGCCAGTGCCTTACACTTTTAATTGTCCTTGCACTCTTTGTTCCAAACGTATGATTAGTATGTGAAGCATATCTGGTTCTTCCAGTGTTACTTGACGTTAACATTTTAAAACAACAGTAACATGAAGAAAGGGTAAGATGATAGTGACTAAGATCAATGCTTGCAGTGGCTTATTTAAAAATCAGATGTTTCACGTTGGAAAAGTCATATTAAATATTTTCCTCAATTCATTCAAAATATAAATGGACTTATTGGTTCTTATTACTTAAATCCTCTAAATGAAGTAGGTCTTTATAAATTAGCAGAAAATTATATTCCAGCATTTGGTATAGCCGTATGACTTGGGATGGGGATTGTGGCAGAGTTCAGAAGCTGAGCAAGGTTTGGCGTAGTCAGCAACTGGATGGGAGACTGTGTGGAAGGCTCATAGGTGCTGTAGGCATCGGAGCACTTTCCTGTGAGCCGATGCAGACCCGATGCCCCTGGATGGTATTAGCAGCAGAGGGCACTGTGCTGCTAGAGATGCTGCCTTTGCCTGCCACAAAAGGCCAATACTGATTTCTTTATGCTTGTAGAAGCCTCCCTTCAGCAGAGCATTTAAACATGTCCTTAATTTTCAGCGTGTGCTTCAGTCCCCCTGAACTTAAGGCTAAATGCATACTAACATGCTTGGCCGGCAGGGAGCCTGAATAGCCCTGTAGCACATTTTTTTGCAAGTGCAGGAATGTGATGTGAGATGTCCAGCGTAGCTCCTAGCAGTTGTGGTGCAGAAGGTATTTGTCACATCCTCTCCGAAGCGACTAGAGAGCTGCCCTGTGCCCTGCGAGAGAGTTACCTCCTTTTGCTGGTGGCAGCTGCATTTCCATGGTCCGTTAAATGATTTGTAGAAACGTACTTACTGAATGTTTGCAGGCCATTGTGTCAAGGAATTTGCAGGCCTGAGAGGAATATGCAGGCACTAAGTATTGTGGTCACTATTACATCCAGTATAGGAGGGCCATGGTTTCCCTTCTGCCCCATGCATTTGGCTCTCGTTATTGCAAACAGAGGGGCTGTCTATGGTATGCAAAGCACTGTCAGCTTCTCCTGAATTCAAAGTCCTGCATAAATGTAAGTAATTACTATCCACATCAGCAGAGGCTTGGGAAATAAACTGCCAAATTCTTAGCTGATACTATTACAAATCCTGTTTTACCAGAAGAAGAGGCTTATAATCACAGTGCCATCACTTGCGATCAATGCTAATATTTACCTCCGCCTTTTCTTTTATTTTTCCTTAGCACCAGTACCATTCAAAAATAGATGAACTAATTGAGGAAACCGTCAAAGAAATGATAACACTCTTAGTGGCAAAGGTAACCTTCAGCTTCAGGTGGAATGATTCACTGTTAACATCGCTTTTTTTTTATACGTGTATTTCCATTAAAATGTGACACATTAAGAAGTTGAATTGGCTTGTTGTTTCTCACAGGCAAGCTTGTACATCACTCAACCCTTTCAAGATGATTCTTTTGATGATTAGGAGCTGCATATGAGATTCAATATACTGCTGGCAGATTGGGCCCATTTTTTTTTTTCCTTTAAGGAAGCATCTGTGTTATTTGCGTGCACCATTTTGCGTACACAAATGCCCACGTTCACACACCCAAGCTGCCCTCAGTAGGTGGCACTGTTCAGTCCTTATGGAAGGGTTTCCCCCTGCGCAAGCCATGTGGGCATCTGTCAAATTTGCACACCCAACGCAGGTGAAAAGTCGCGCTCACAAACCGGCGTGCTCCAGCTCAGAGCCAACGTGAGGGATTTTTAACAAGCGTTCTGGTCCCAGGGAGCATATTCTGAAATGTCACGGCTGATTTTTGGAAGCTGGTTTTTCTCTGGAAAGTTAGCTGGTATTTCTGATGTTCAAATGTAGGGGTGCTCGGGTCCAGGTGCTGAGATAGGGTTGGCGAGAAGTGCCGGGATGAGTATAGAGAGCATAGCCAGAGCGCCTTTCCTTCAGTTTTGGCTTGCTGAGAACAAGCCTTCACTGATTCAATGGGGGGACGGTTAAACATAGCTTGCCAGCATATGCCCGTCGGAGTCATCTGCAAGACTAACCAGCTGGCTGCCTCCTTGATACTTCTCCCTGGGAACGCGAGCCATCTGACTTCCCCTGCTAGGAGACAGGGCCCCTGGGGACCCACAAGCTTTCCACCATCTCCCATGGGGTGAAGCAACCAGTATCACCAGTTAGCACTGAAGGGAAAACTCATGCCCAGTTAGTTAAGTGACCTTGAGAAAATGTGCCCCTAATTAGTTTATTGCAGACATCCTTCCTGACCTTGCATGCAGGTTCTCAGCTGGGTGCAACCTGGGTGTGCTGCCGCTCCCATCAATGCAGCCATAAAACTGGGCTGGAGCTCGCCCCGACTC